AGCGAGTTTCTCGTGGAAAATCGTTACATTTGTGACAAAAATATGTGAGATAACTTATTCAAGGCGAAATCAAATATTGAGAAAGACGTTTTTTTTTTGGAAATAAAAGTTTTAATTTGTTATTAACAATAAAATAAGAAAAATGAGAGTCTCAGCTTTTAGTTAATAATTCAATAACTAAATAGGTTTCGAAAATCGGAAAAATATCCTTAAAGAGGAGGAAATTTCTTAATAAACGTCTTGACTACTGGAGCTCTAGCTCCTTAAACAACATTTTTTATGATAATTGATAGAATCAGGCGTTAGTTGAAGAAATTCATTATAATAAAGATATTAATAGTAACTTTGCAACCATCTGCTCAAATAAATAAAATGGTGTGTCTTATCTAGTTTGACCGCGAAGTAGTTTAGCGGTCAGCCGCCGTAGATTTTACACCACCTGAAGATGCCTCGTGTAGAGGCGAAACACGTGTCGTATTATCGTCGATGGTGTGTCTTTCCCAGAATAGTGGTGTTGGATGTAGTGGTGTTGGGAGTAGTGGTGTTGGAATAGTGGTTCTGGGATTAGTGGTGACGGGATTAGTGCACGCAATTGAGGGAGGGTGGGAGGTGCTCTTCAAACTAGGTAAGACACATCATTTAATTTAATTGAGCAGATGGTTGCAAATTTACTATTAATATATTTATAACAATTTTTATTTAATGTTGAAAATGGGATACTGCGCAGCTGCTGTCTCACGGGCGCGCCGACGCTTATTTCCATCCAAAATTACCTGCTGATCCACATAATGAAATTCTAAAAATAAGTTTTTTTATCCTTCGGTGTAACAACAGAGTGTAAGTGATTCCATCCTAGTCCTCAGAGGTGACTACGCATCTGTAGCTTTCTTTTTTATAGAATAAGGGTGACAAACGAGCACACAGTCCACCTGATGGTAAGTGGACTCTGTGGTCCATAGACATCTACATTTATCCTCGATTAAGAATCAAAATGCAAATGCGTTGTCATCCCTGAGGACTGCGAAGGAATGCTTATTTCTAGTAAAAAAGGTTTTTGGTTCTCTACACTCACCAAACGAAAGCATTAAGCTGCTATTACACCCCGGTCGAGCCGAACCATTCGTACCACAACCGTAATATAGCTGCAGCATGGCTCAATCGTGTTTAAAAGATATCGAAAATACTGTAATAACTTACGAAAAAATTAAAACGCAAATAGTATATATAAACACTACAATCCCTGACAACACGTTGAGCTGAGTTGTTGTAGAACTTGTGCGTTTACCGTATGAAATTCTGTGTTTTATTTTCACCAAAAACATAATTAGTTACCCATTGTTTGACGTGACTTGTCTTGGCCGGAATAGGTATAAAGTTTCTTGTTTTTGTGACATCAAGTAAATTCAATATACTAACCACGTCTTAATAAGTTTCACTCAAAAATTACGCTCTGGTGGATTTGGGCGCTTTGGATACGCAGAGCTCTCTTTTGCGCGAGGTCCGTAGCAATTGCTACTCTTGCTATGTGGTTAATCCAGCACTGTGTGTGAGACCAAATAAAATAATTTATTTGGTGGTTTTTGGTACTATATGACAATTTTATTCATAAATAATAATCACAACGGTGAGTACCCGCTCAAAATCGAAATTGCCTTATGTGTGTGTGTGTGGGTTGATGTCACAACGCTTTGTCCGGACGGCCGAATTTTGACCACAACATCGCTCGGGAAAGCGCACTTAATCTTCATTATCTCAACCATTTCTTAAGACTGGAAAATAATAAGAATATCATTTTTCTTGGAATTTTTTCTGGTTTTGTTACAAATACATAACAACAATCGTTGGTCTTGTCAATTATCATACAGGTCCTACTCCCCGAAGTCTCATGCGAAGAACGCTGGCTATGTTTTCTCGCTGTGAATCCTTTGAGCGAGAAAAGAACCAGCCCTCTTATCACCAGCAGCGATGACCAGACGTAGATACTGTTCCTTTAGGAACTTCATCGTACATGAACTTCACGGATCGTTAGTTCTACAGCAAATGGCACAAATATGTAGTCATCTCTCACTATACTTAGGTATATGTCCTGGTGTTATGTACTCATACACCAAGTTTCGAAATTTTAAAGTCTATTTACTTGAACGAATAAGCCGTTTCTACTATTCCCGGCTGAACGTCCGGCCGTTTGCGTGTGCATGTGCGCGTTTGTGAGCGTGTGCGTGTGCGTTTGCGTGTTTTTTTTCGAGCGTTAAAATAAGCGGGAAGAAATGGGTTAAGGCGGGAAGAATATGCGGTTGACCCTAACAGGGTCAGCCGCAGTTGAACAGCAGCCATTGCGTTGCCGTACAAAAGCAGCACGCCCTTGTTTAATTTTCTTCACCTTTTTTCCTCGCAGCTTTCAAACCTCCATTATAAAAACATCCTACTTAAAGCCGAACTCAACATGTTCAAGTAATATAATGAACAAAAATACAACTCAAGGGGCTGGAATATAATATGGAGAATGAAAAAAAAATTGTTTTTTTAATTAAAATTAGGAAAGGATTCCCTTAAAATATTCAAATCTAGTAATTTAGGTATTTCATTATACGTTTTTGAAATTTTATTTATTAGATCTGTTACAATCCGGTATTTGTTTACGTTTTAAATAAGTTATTGTACTTATTGGTTGGTGCATGGTTTTCACAGGGCAAAAGACCAAGCGAATAGACCGAGGCTTCCAAACTTTGTTGAGGAGGTTTAGTTAGGAAATTGATAAAGGCGCGGAACTCGATGTTCTTCGTTTTTCAAATTTTCTTCCTGATTTACTTCTTTAATGAATAATAGCTTAATATACAATGATGCGATTGTTTTAAAATTCGATATGTATACTGATAACGATTATCCTTACACCCCTTTTGTTTCGTCTTAATCTTAACCTTAATAAGACTCTCAATAAGTTTAGTTGACTTTAACTTTAAGCAAGGCAATACCTTGCGTTGTTGACCCTACCACCAGCCTTTTAGTGCCTATTTCAACTTTCAATATTCGTGCTATTTTAATCAGAGCGCAGTACAGTAGGACCTCAATAATCGAAACACCCAAAGTTTACACCCTACTCGGATTAATGTGGCTTTCGGATTATAGCATCTAGATATTATATCATCTTCAGGGTTAAAGTCACCCAGATCGTGGCTAGAAGTTTCCTCTGGTTTAAATAACGAAAGCCAAAGAGGCTTCCTAAATTTTTTGACACTTGTTGCCAACATTAAGCCAGAGAAAATAGAGCTCTATCAAATATTTCATTGTGTTAATAAATTTCTGATAATGTGCATTCTGAATCTACTCCCTGCTGACCAAAAACTTATACTTTTTGACCCATTCTTTGACTAAAGGCTGTACAGTTAAGCGGCATTATAGAACAATGAAATTTTCGTCCACTGACTGCAGATATTCTTTCGATCGGCACTGCCCTGTTCTGTGAGACAATGAGCAGGTGGTCGTTCGGATGAAAGAGGCGTTTGGATTATCGTGGGTTCGGATTATGGAGACTATACTGTATTCATAAAACCATAAGTTTGAATCGATAGATTATTTATACAAAAGTGTAATGCGTATTCCATCACTTTTTGTGTAATATTTGCCAATTGTGAACCGATGCATTCTTATTTATCCCTTCGTCTGTTGAACGCTGGTATCCCGACGGATGTCAAGATGGCCGATACTGTTGACCCACCGGTAAACCAGCGCAAACTAGTAAGACACATTTCGCGCTAATTTTAACCGTTAAAATATTTCTCTCTCCTTTTTTCATGTACCAAAATGCTAAGGAGTAAACGGGCTAGCAATAAATTACACCTTTTTAGTCTCTGTAGAAATAAAGGTTGACGTTTTTGGCAGTAAGTAGTAAGTGGGTGATTTTTTATTATCTCTAGACGCCTTTATTTTGAATTTTTTGTTCTAAGCATACATTTATTTTGCTGTAAGTTACGACATGGTTTCATGCAGATGTTAGAAAATATAAAACTTGTAGACTTTCTAATACCATTCCACTAAAAAACCAGTACCTTTTCAAGTGCCACAAGTTGGGTCTGTTTTAAGTGCCCTTTTTGTTGAGATGTTATTCATTATATTTACAACTTATTACTGTAACCAATGATACCTCTTTTTATTTTGACTGTAACAGTGTTTTGGCCTCGTAGCCGAGAACTTTAAGTTACTAGAACAATAAATGTAATGTTGTTATTTTAAAGCGTAACACAATAGAGCTCTAAAATATTAGACCCATTTTTATGACTCACAGAGCGGTACAATTTTCTACCTAAGTATGAAAAAATGTGTTGTGTAAAAATATTGTATGACACTTGCAAATTTTAGGCTTTTAATTTGTTTAATATATTATAAGCTGTAAATAAAAATAAAAATAAGGACCAAATATCTTTTTCGTTTTATTTCGTAAAGAAAAAATATAAACTTTTAGACGTTGCCATAATTAGATTGAAGACTGCAGCTGCAGTTTAGTCTTTTGATGAAGAAAATTTAAAGAAAACAATAGAATAGATAATAGTGAGTAATATTTAATTCAGAATTATGAATAATTTCAATTAAAATAGAAGATATTTGAATCTAAAGAAAAAAATGCCAAAACCAAGCCTGCGTGTGTTGAACGACCGGGAAACCATCAACAGTATCGGCCATATTGCGAAATTTTTGTTTAACAGACGAAGGGTTTACCACGTAGTGGGGCGATTCACTATAGGTACTCTATCATGCAGTGGGGTCGTAAGAAACGACAAAGGAAAAAAACAAGAGATGCTTTCCCACCACTCAAGGTAGTAAAAAACTTGCCAACTAATACGACAAAACAAAAATACCCCAATCATATATATATATATATATATATATATATAGGTAGTCATTTAAAAAATGTTTAGCAACCAACTCTGGATAGGTTGTAGGTGATATAACAATCGCGCGAATATAATTATAAATACTCCAATTAACTTGAAAAACAGGCTTACCAGTTGAGCAAGCTTGAGCAATCCAGGTAGCGTCCCAAGGTAACCACTGTTGACGAACATAGCGTTGCTGGATGATGTTGTTGTTGTCCTCATAATGGTTACCGTGTGCGACATTTTGGCTGATTACTGAAAAGTAAGGGAAAACATTTCATATACTGTGCATAATGCATATTATACCTATTTACGGTCTACCTATAAATGTAATATACTTAAATGATAAATTATAACCAATACAGTTTAATAAAGGTCAAATTTAATCCACGAAATGGTGGAAAATGTTTAAAGATAGTGCATTGAATTAGGTTTACTAAAACCAATTGTACTGCAAGTCGATTTTGAAATAAGTATACTATTACGTATGTTATTTATTTCATATCAACTATTCGCAATTCGGCTTTGCACGGGTGATTAATGTACCTCGACAACAGCGCCATCTAGAGGGTCCAATTGTAAATATAAACCTCCCAGGGACTCAATCAAACGCACACAAAAATTTCATCAAAATAGTTCGAGATTTTGGTTTCTATCCTTTACTTACAGGAAAAAAAACGCACGACGTACATTATTGCAAGCTGATTACGCACATACAGCTACATGGAATTATAACGCAACGCACAAAAACCAAGAAACCTCAGCCATAGTAAGGCAATTGCAAATGTCTTACTTAACGCCTATTAACATACCAATAGCAATTAATAGATGAAAGGAAACGTTTTAATTTCCATATTTTTGAGTTAATATCACTCCACTTAAACTTGTGTCTGTGTATGTGTCAAAATAAGTATTGTAACACACCGCTTTTGTTTTTTTATGGAATAAGGGTGGCAAACGAGCACTCAGTCCACCTGAAGATAAGTTGCTCCCTGAAGGTAAGGATGCTGCGGCAAGTAGACATGATTCAAAATGCAAATACACTGTCACGTAAGGACTAAAATCGAATGCCTCGTTGACAGTGAAAAAGGTCTCCGGTTATCTGAATTCACCGTGCGAAACACGGCATAAATGGACGACACACACGGTCAATTCAACTGATCAGTTCAAAGTAGCACTGTTGATATTTTTTAAAATATCGGATTTTCGATATATCGATAGTTATAAATAAATCAATATCGGAGTTATATATATATATATATATATATATATATATATATATATATATATATATATCCTGGCATCCACGCTCCCACTAAGGACGAAAGTAACTATCTACAAGGCCTACGTTCGCTCACTGTTGAATTACGCAGCGCTAGCCTGGTACGCGCTAACATCGACCACACAGCGCAAGAGACTGCAAGCCCAGCAGAATCTAGCGCTCAGGACGATCTTGGGAGCAGGCCGCTATGTCGGAATTGACCTCATAGCCAGGGACCTTAAAATCGAGTCTATACACGAAATTGTGACCCGTACTGCGAGACGGTTGTTCGACCGCGCAGACAACGAGCCAAATCCTCACCTGCAAAACCTGGTACCATTACATGCGCGCCCACCTGATGGGTGGCCACTCCCACCTGAACTCCTACGCTCACCGCCCGGCGAGGGAGCCACCGGGGACGAGTGAGCATTCCCGACACCTAGCCTGATGGCGTGAAGTGCGCAACATTCCTACCAACAAGCTGCGGGGCAGCACCCAGAACCGGGGAGAAGAGGGCCACCTCGAACCCGTAAACCTCCTCAAGGAGATGAAACATTACATTACATTACCCAGCGTAGCTCTACCATTTAGGTACAAAATTTTTTTTGTGTCGTACTTTCTATCGTAACTCGGTTTAATATACTCCTTCCTTGCTCAATAATTCTATGCAAAAATACAAATGTCAAATATTTTTATCGTCAATTTGCAACTTAAACTTATACGAAATCATGATCAGTTTTAAATCTGGCAGAACCATTTGTAACTTACACCCATGTTATATTTTACGTTACTTATAAATGTAATATATCTACTACTAGCCTATTAATCCTTAAATAACTTAAATAAAAACTCATGTAAACGTTTCCTACTCAGAATATTTATAAGAACCTATTCCTATACAAACTAAAGATACATAAGCCATAAGATACATATGTCTACATAAATATTTTAAATATAGTACATAAGGTACATATGTCTTATGGTAATGCAGTGGAGCAACCGTTGTCCTATCCAAAAACGGAGTGCTACTCGTAGGTCAACGTGTTGAATAAAAGCGTGACGCCAGGCCTCGCTTGTACCGCCGAGGCCGACTGCGAAGTGCGAATAAATAAACGCCCGCTTATACACCACATCAACATACCAATAGACCTTGGATTACAGATATACACAAACTTTACAAATCGGTCAAAATCAGATCACAGATCATAAAATAATCTCACACTATAAGATTTTATGCACAGGAAACTGTTTATTAATTGTCTCTCCAACAAAAAAAATGTAACAAAATTAGCAATACCGAGTAAATTTTTTAATTGAACTACGAATTTTCTGACTAACAAACGAGAATAGTCTATGTATTACATAAAATAGGATATCACTTAAATCTTTTACTACGTGAAAATTTTCTATCTGAAAATTCCTTTTTACTATATATTTGTAATTCAAACAACAGCAATCAAAATGTAAAAAACATCTATGAATGCAGCAGACATGTTCTTATTTGGCAAAATCAATTTCCTCCCTCGTCTAGACAGTTATACAAACAACTATCAAACACACTATACACTTATCCATTACTTATCCCTTAAGTTCCTAATTGTAAAATAATTCAATAATATGCGTGTTAATAACTTAACACTTAGTAGGCACGACGTATTGAACTTTAATAAACATGTCTTTGAAATTAAATACGTACTTCGTAAGTTTGGTTAATATTTTACTGCTATTAACTGCTAATCACGTAACTTTACGTCAAGATTATTGGCAATATTCTCTCCGAATGTAATCTATTTTACGAACTCAGGATGCCTATTGTTAATTTATTTATGAAGTTCTATAAATTTTCTTGGTGTTAATTGTGTTTCTAAAAAATTATTTACTTACTTATATATCTAACATCGTAGTCATTTGTATTCTAATCTATTCGGCTTACTACTGTGTTGCTGCAATTGCCTTTTCTTATCAAATTGTATAAAAATAATAAACATTGCACATCCATACGTGTACAAAAAACCAAACTATTGAGCCGATGTCCTTTCTATTAAATTAGCATTTTACTATCTCTTAATTCAGAAAAAATATTTATAAAAATAATATAAGCATTTTTTATTTACTTACGATTTATTTTATCCACACAAACAACGAGATATAAAACCGCGCGTCGATGAAAGCGTTGGAAAATCAACTGCAGATCGGACTCCAGCTCCAGTCCGATGACTCACTTGTCGTCGTGCGCATGCGCGTAATGGCTAAAACCAATACAAAACATACCTAATAGTACTTATGTTAAAATATGAAATATATTAAGATTTGTAGTAAAAGGATCAGTAATAAGTGGACAAATTTAATATTAATACAAAGAAATACACTACTTACACTCATTCGACACCGATGTTGTCAAAAGTAAATGACTGCCATTGTGTCAAGGCTTATTCAAGGTGTTCCCAACTTCATAAGTTATTCTTAGTACTTTGAATGATGTCATCACGAATGATTACGACATCTTGTTGTAACCACGAAGAGTATGCCACTTGTGAGAAAGCCCGTTTTACTCAATTGCTGGCGAATTCCGAATTATGATTTTTTTTATAGGATAAGAAAGTTCGCCTAATGGTAAGTGGTTGCTGCGGACCATAGACATCTATCCTCGATTACGAATCAAAATGAAGGTGCGTCGTCACTCGTGAGAATTAAGATGGAATGCCTCGCTTCCAGTAAAAAGGGTCTCCGGTTCTCTACACTCACCATACGAAACACAGCAGCATTAAGCTACTATTTTACGCTGGTATTGTGAGAGCGTGGTCCTTCCCCGGTCGAGTCGACCCATTCGTGCTACAACTATACTATTAACACCTATAACTGCGATATGGCTCTACCACGTATAAATTAATGTGTTTGAACACTTAGATAAACATTAAAAACACATTTCTACCAAAATTGTATTTAATAGCAGATAGTTTGGTTCTTTTAACGAAATTTTTAAAGCATCTGATCTGTTTTAAAGAAGATAAAAATAACGGGAAATACATACATACATAGTATATATATATACATATATAGTATACATACTAAGTAACCATAAAATTTACATCTTTTATCTACAGTCTTATTACAAAACACTAGTCAGCATTTTCCACTCGACTTCTTTATTGAAACAGACTCTAATTTAAACCTGAGACGAATTATAAACCACTTTATAAGTGGTGGTTAAAGTAAAATCTTACCAAGAGTGGTTACAGGGAATATTAGTAATACATATTAATAGCATTGCTAATATAATTATAATATTTGAAAAGTGTTAAATTAAAAAAAATTACAACCGACAATAATCAATATAAATAAAATGAGACCATCATCAAAGTATTCGAAGTCAATTAAAAACGCATTATTAAGGAAAAGAACGGAAGGAACGGAAACTCATTATTAAGGAAGAAGGATACCAGGTTTCAAATTAAAAAAAATCATCAAAATCTGTTGACCCAGGGAACAGTTCTGAGATAACACACATAACAAAGGCTATTCCCGTGTCCTATATCGAATACTTAAACAAAACGAAGTTAAAGGTGAGTTATCTTCGTTTTACTCGATGTGGAGCTTATAAAATTGACCGCATGTCAAATCAGAGAACGCAGAATGATCACAACCCACCCTCAATTATTCTAACCTAAAAACTACGGTTTGATGTCTAGGTATTAGCTCTACCACACGGTGATAAACACTTATTAAACGATAATTTGTAAAGGCATCAATATTATTTTTATTAAGTTTTATAAAACTTCCGCAAAGCTTTTTGTTCCTACGGATTCGAATGCTAAAGATCGATCCAGGCAGTTTAAAATGTATGAAAAAATTTACTTTTAATACAAATTAAAAGTCGAAAAAAAACTTAAAATTCTTCAAAGAACTTAAAATTAAAACAATAAAAGTGTTAACATTTTGAAGTCGATACTAAGACATATTGTACAGCGGAATAAAAGCTACA